TAAAAAGAACGAGGCCAATATCCAGCCATCTTGACCGAACAAGCTTGGTCAATAAAGGATTTATTATATGGCTTTCGGGGAAATTTTTCTTGCCGGACACGGCGGGTAATCCCGAGCGGGCAAGATATCGGGTAGTCAATCACAGCGCAGGATTTGATTCATCTTGCCCGCTTCTTTGAATTTTGAACTCGCCCCAGTCCCCTGCCTAATTCTGAAATGGCTAGTTGTCCTGAACTGTTTTCATCGTGTAACACAACAGGTAGCGCTGAGAAAAAAAAAATTGTTTTACAATTTATACGTTATTTTTATTATCTTTTGAATACTCATTAATATAAAATATCATCAATCTGAATTAGTTGTTCATGAGTTTTTGTTCGAGGCAGCTCCTGTTGAAGTAACAGAACACTCAAAGATCGTTTTCGCACAAATTTTGTTTTATTGGTTTGTGTTTAAAAAGACTAAAGAGTTAAATGGTGTTTGTTAATCTGCTCTTTGAATGCTACTACAACACAAGTCAATGCTAACAATGGATCAGAAGTAGTCAGTGCGAGAACAATGGACATCACGCCTTTTGTGCGGCGAGTTCGAAGACAACGGTTGTCATTGGCCGCTTCGTTGCCACGGTATTGGACAGAGTTTGCCCGGCAAGGCACAGGAATGGTGTATACGTTGTGAGTATCGTTACTACATGTAGCCGGGTTATAAAAGCTGGGTTTTAGGCGTCTTTCTTTCGTTTTTACAAGAGAAAGAAAGGCACTAAGACAGTGAAAGCTCCTTTGCAAGGAATAACGTTGTTATTTTCACCGTGAAACTGCATCAACGACCGCTATATCGGAGAAGACGCCGGGAACCGTTGATCAAACTGACCTTGGTCTTCGCGGTAGAAATCATTGCAGCTGAACTAACAACCCAAAAAGGAGCATTTTGACGGATTTTATAATAACTTCCTCGCGATCAGCACCCGAAGGGCACTTTTCTTGACTTTATGCTCATTTTATGAGCTAATCAGTGGATTAATTGAAGAAAGAATTATCACGTCAAATTGCCTTTTCGCCTGTCGTGGATTGAATTATTGAGATTTACAACTTACTTGACTTCAACGCTGGGTTGCAACGTGGGGATTCCGTTGACTAACCCTTCCATTCAAGGTTAACATTTCGGGAAATAGGATAAGAGAAAATCGATTTTTGAGGTAAGCTTAAATCGACTGACAAACTAACGAGAAGTTCAACGCTTTAGTCCATCGACCTCTCGCCCGATGTAAGCTTACATGTAAAAACTGAAGTGTTATCTTTTTTTTGTACCTACAGTTCTGTCTGGTACCAGCTCGGCTATCTCCTTTGTAAAAGATTGTCGTTTTCTTGTTCATTTGCGGGGTATCATCAGCAACAGAACGACGTATTTATCATCCTCTCCAGTCAAAGTACCGTAAGCATAACTTCTACATCACGTCAAACAATGGAAGAAAGGTGGCAGCCACTGGGAGGGACAATCGTTTGAGTCAAGAGAGATTTAGAAGATTTGTTTATGGTTGGAACGTTGTTTTCATACACCATCTGACAATAACTTGATCAAACTTTATTGCTCAGGCTTTCAGATGCGTAAATCACGCTAAAATTTTCAACAGCTAAACGAATTATTTACTTAACGCATCTCTGTTAATTTGTTGCCGATGGATCGCATAGCAACATAGCGCATCTGATGATTTCGGAGTTGTGTTCTTCCTATTGAGATCGGGAAGTACTTAAGAGGAAGAGACCATGAATTCAAGGGCACAGCTAGAGAAATCTTTGTCCTCCAGGCTCAACGGGGTTCAAATAACCGATCAATTATGCAGGCTATCAAGGGCAAAAGCACCTCCACCTGTTCTGAAAACTAATTCCATAGCGCCACAAAAATCGTTCAAGTTTCTACCCCATCCGCCTCAAAACCAGCGAACATCTGGGCCCCAGGCTCAGGGTAATGCAAGAACTGAAGGCAAAAGTGTTAAGCCAGTGCCCCCTTCCGAGCCTCGGGCAAAGAAATCAACAGTGAGGAAGTTTTATGATGTAAAGAAGCAGGACAGTTTCATTGATGAAGGCAGAATAAGTGGAGATGGAGAATCACTGGAAAACGAAGAGTATCAGGAGAAATCAAGGTGTCCATCATGGGAGCGCATGCCAGGAGATGGCTGTATTTCAGATATTGCTGAAGAGGATGAAGACGTGGAAGAAGAAGAAGAAGAAGATGACATGGACAAAATTGATGATGATGATGATGACAACAATGACTTTAACGAGGGAAATATTGATGATGATTTCTATGAATGTGATGAGCTAGATGAAGGTAAAATGTGTTTTTTTCCCTTCACTTAACTTACTTTTTATTCTGCGACAAATGATTTGGGTTTGAAAATGACCATAGGGAGCTGACAATAAAGCTATAATTCAGTCCCTTCACCCTGAAATTGTTACACTGTGTAGGCTTTAGACTCAGGAAATTTGATGGGCCTTAAGTATTCCCCCTC